TAAATACTGCGATAGATGTCTGTTGGTAGGAAAGCTGCCATTTCTTTATGTTCATCCATCTGATTTTCATCTGTATCAATATTATTACTTAATTATCACAAATTCTACTACAGTTGCAATGTCTCATTTAATGTAGGGATAGAGTTAGGATTACATATCATTCCTAGTGGTTCAGTGCAGTGGTCTCTTTACTTTTTCCAGAGCTGTAGGTTGTGTGTTATATGTGTGTGTGTAGAAAAATATACAAGGCTGGAAAAAACAGAGAATATATACACACACACACACATATATATATATATATATATATATATATATATATATTATATTATATATATATATATATATAATATATATATATATATATATATAATTCCCTTCTCACCCACCGCGGTGGTTCTTATCCTCTGGTCCTCTACCAGAGGCCTGGGAGCTTGAGGGTCCTGCAGTATCTTGGCTGTGCCAAGGACCGCACATTTCTGGACTGAGATGTCTGATGTTGTTCCTGGGATCTGTTGTAACCACTGCTCCAGTTTGGGGGTTACTGCCCCGAGGGCCCCGATGACCACATGCACCACTGTGGTCTTCACCTTCCAGGCCCTCTCCAGTTCCTCCCTGAGGCCCTGGTATTTCTCCAGTTTCTCCTTTTTCCTGATGTTGCAATCACTTGGTATTGCTACATCTACCACAACGGCTTTCCTCTGATGTTTATCCACTACGACAATGTCTGGTTGGTTCGCCATTACCATTCTGTCTGTCTGGATCTGGAAGTCCCACAGGATCTTAGCTCTGGCGTTCTCCACCACCTTTGGGGGTGTTTCCCACTTTGATCTTGGGGTTTCCAGTCCATATTCTGCACAGATGTTTCTGTACACTATGCCTGCCACTTGGTTATGTCGCTCCATGTACGCTTTCCCTGCCAGTATCTTGCACCCTGCTGTGATGTGCTGGACTGTCTCAGGGGCCTCCTTGCACAACCTACACCTTGGGTCTTGTCTGGTGTGGTAGATCTGGGCCTCTATTGCTCTGGTGTTTAGGGCCTGTTCCTGGGCTGCCAGGATGAGGGCCTCTGTGCTGTCCTTGAGTCCAGCTTTTTCCAGCCATTGGTAGGATTTACTGATATCAGCCACTTGGGTTATTTGCTGGTGGTACATCCCATGTAGGGGTTTGTCCTCCCATGATGGTATCTCTGGCACCTCAACCTCCGTTCCCTGTTGTCTGAGACATTCACTGAGCACATTGTCTGTTGAGGCTTTGTCCCTGATGTATTTATGGATCTTAGTTGTTTCGTCCTGGACAGTGGTTCTCACACTCACTAGTCCTCTGCCTCCGTCCTTGCGGCTCGTGTACAGTCTCAGGGTGCTGGATTTGGGATGGAACCCTCCATGCATTGTTAGTAGCTTTCTGGTCTTAATATCTGTGGCTTTTATCTCCTCCTTTGGCCAGCTAATTATTCCAGCAGGGTATCTGATTACTGGCAGGGCATAGCTGTTTATCGCATGGATTTTGTTCTTGCCATTGAGCTGGCTTCTCAGGACTTGCCTTATTCGTTGGAGGTATTTAGCTGTGGCTCCTTTCCTTGTGACCTCATCGAGGTTGCCATTTGCTTGTGGTATACCTAGGTACTTGTAACTGTCCTCTATGTCTGCTATTGTTCCTTGTGGGAGTGAGACCCCTTCTGTGTGGATGACCTTCCCCCTCTTTGTGACCAGCCGACCACATTTCTCTAGTCCGAATGACATCCCAATGTCAGTGCTGTAGATCCTGGTGGTGTGGATCAGTGAGTCGATGTCTCGCTCACACTTGGCGTACAGCTTGATGTCATCCATGTAGAGTAGGTGACTGATATTGGCCCCATTTTTGAGTCTGTATCCGTAGCCAGTCTTGTAACTTGGCTGAGGGGGTTCAGGCCTATGCAGAACAGTAGCGGGGACAGAGCATCTCCTTGGTATATGCCACATTTGATGGACACTTGTGCAAGTGGTTTGCAGTTGGCTTCAAGGGTGGTTTTCCACAGCCTCATCGAGTTTGCAATGAAGGCTCTCAGAGTCCTGTTGATGTTATACATCTCTAGGCATTCAATGATCCAAGTATGCGGCATTGAGTCATAGGCTTTCTTGTAATCAATCCAAGCCATGCACAGGTTGGTGTGTCGGGTTTTGCAGTCTCGGGCAACTGTGCGGTCTACGAGGAGTTGGTGTTTGGCTCCTCTGCTATTTACACCGATACCCTTCTGTGCCGTGCTCATGTGTTTATCCATGTGTTTGCTTATCTTGGCCGCTATGATGCCTGACATGAGCTTCCAGGTTGTGGAGAGGCAGGTTATTGGTCGGTAGTTGGGTGGGACTGGACCCTTTGATGGATCCTTCTGGATTAGGATTGTCCGCCCTTCAGTAACCATTCAGGGTGAGTCCCACTTTGTAGCAGCTGGTTCATTTGGGCTGCCATTCGCTCATGGAGAGCAGTGAGTTTCTTTAGCCAGTAGGCATGGATCATGTCAGGCCCTGGTGCTGTCCAGTTTTTCATACCTGAGACTCTTTCTTGGACATCTGTCACAGTGATGGTTACCGGGGCTTGCTCAGGGAGGTTGCTGTGGTCCTCTCGTAGTGGTCCACTGTGCATTGCTGTTGTGGGACGCCTCCCTTTCCCATATGCCTTTCCAGTATTGTTCCGTCTCCAGCCTTGGTGGGTCTGCTCTGTTGTTATTGTTACCCTGCCATTGAGAGTACACCTTAGCTGGTTAATCCTTCTGGATTCATTCTCCCTTGTGTATCTCTTTAGGCGGCTGGCCAAGGCTTGGAGCCTCTGTTTGGCAGTCTCGAGTGCTTCAGGTATGGGCATCTGCCTGTACTTTCTGGGTACTGGTCTTTTCATTGCACCCTTGTGGAGCTCTGACAGTTGGCTCACTTCCCTCCTTGTTACCTTGATTTTAGCCTCTAACCGTCTTTTCCATGGTGGGTATTGGGTCTCATGGTTGCTCTTATAGCCAAGTATCTCAAGGATCACTGATGCTGAGTTGTAGTTATGGTGTTGGTAGGGATCGTTCTCAATGCTGCATTCAGCGCCGAGGAGGTCTGGTTGTCATGATTCTCTCTCTCAGGTCAGCAGCTGTCTCGTTCAGCTCTGTTTCGCTCATTGGGGCCGTGTATCCCCTCACTGGGTGGGGACTTGTAGTTAAGTCCCCACAGTCCTGACATCCGGGTTCCTCCCTTTTGCCGTAGCATTTGTGTTGTATCTCGTCAATCTCAAGTTGTGATAGCAGTTGCCGTTTGCGGATGTTGGAACACTGAGCTACTAGTTGTTTAGCGCTTAGTGTTGACTGGGGATGTCGAAGTAACCATTCCTTCCCCAGTCTTTGCATGTAACCTCTCTGACTAGGGTTACTTGAGTAGTAGCATTCCAACAGATCCACATTTTCATCTCTCGCCCATTTCCGTCTTGTTCCAGTAGCCCATTTGTCATCAAGGTGCTCTGGTTCCCCAACACCTGACGCAGACCTTGTTTGGCCGGGCGACGTCTGAGCCGGCATGTTATGCAACTTAGTATCTCTCATGGTATGAGGTAGGCAGTAGCTTGAAGGGTCTTGCCTAAGGACCCAGACTGGATTCGAACCCTGCCTCTCGGGTGATATACTGATGCCTTATGTATTGAGCTATCCAGTCAGCTATATATATATATACATATATATATATATATATATATATATATATATATATATATATATATATATATATATATATATATATATATAATATATATATATATATATATTATATATATATATATATATGTAATATATAAGAGGATAAGAGGTTCTTATCCTCTGAGGACCCGAGCTCAGAGGATAAGAACCACCCGCGGTGGGTGAGAAGGGAATTTATGTATATATATATACATATGTATATATATACATATGCAGGTATTTTTAATAAGGCTTGTGTCTCATTACAGAGTAACAAATAACTGCCCTCGATCATTTAATATCAAGCCTGTTGATCCCGATGGTGACAATGTCAGATGCAGACTACCGACAGACTATGGTACATATGAGTGTTCTATATGCAGCCTTCCTAATGGCTTCTCTTTCGATAAGGTAAGAATCTTTTTATACCAAAAGTTAAAAAGTAAATTGTTTTTGAAGGATGTCTTCCCTTCCTCTCATTTTACCCAGTCTCTATGTAAATTAAGCAGCTCATGACTCAATGTAAATAAGTGAACTTGAAATTTGTAACACATTCTCATCAACGCAAATTTTAGCCATACACTATTATATGAAAACAACTAAAGCTGACAAAACTCAACAGATATCACATCTACATGTGGTAAATGGATAGATAGCTTCGGGTTTACAGAAGGAAGATCCTGGTGCTCAAAGTAGGAACTTGAAGCCTTTCCACAGTCAGCTGCTCGATTAGCACCATGTTCTTAACATGAGCTCAAGTTCTACTCCCTGATATCTCTGGATGGTTTCTTGATAGGGAAACATTTCTGGTAAAATCCACAGTAATTATTTAGGATGTGGGCACAGATGAGGGTTAAATTTGGAGGACTAACATCTCCAATATGAATTTGATCAGTTTGGTGTAACCCAAGCTTTGGACAAGGGTCACCAGATCAGAACACCCTGCCGATTTTCTTTTTTTTCCATTTTTTAAATGTTTTTGAGTCATGGCTTTGGTGCATATAGCCAGTGGAGCTCCTGAGGGTGGGGCCAAGGGTGGCTCTGAACCATTGAAAAACACTGATTATTTTTTTGAGATGTGCCACCATAACAATTTAATACCCTTGCCTTGTCACTCCAGTGAAAATTTTCTGGGTGCACCACTGTACACTGGGGCTCTTTTCAGGCAAGTATAATGTTAGCAGGAGAAAGTTCAGTTACTCTACGTCTCAGTCACAGTTCTTGAACAGGATGGAGGCCTGCGGGATAATCTAGAGCAAAGGACAAGAGTGGTTGGTTTCCCTCTTACCTTTCTGATGCTTTTATTTTGTTCAAGCAGAAGAAAGTAAAATAATCTGTGTATAAATGGCATCGCAATAAATCTGTGAAGGGGTCAGATAATTATTGCAATACCCCAGCATTTACAATATATTACTTCCAGAATCGGTTCCATTTCATTGACAAGAGAACTCCACTCTGATTTCCTAGTTACTTACAACAGTTCATCACACTTCATGATCTCAACATAAACAACAAGACCTGGGCAGGTTTAAGGCATATGTGTGGGCTCTGCTAATGAAGAAAGATGACTTGTGTAGAGGTGATTTAACTTATTGGCTGAACTCTGCCAGTGGTTCAGTTGAAGTAACAGCAGCAGAAATTGATGAACTGCAGAGATGTAAAATGTCTCTGCTAGAAAGAAGTCAAACAGAAGTTGTTTTTCAAAATATTTTTCTTTCAAATTATGATACTAATATAAACTGCGGTTAAAATGAAAGTCAATGCAAATGAGTCAAGTCATTGTGAGCCTCACAGGAGAGAAAAGCCATACGCAGCACATGAGACCACATTGCTAATGTTTCTTACACTTTTGGGTGGAAAAATGGACTGATGGACAAACAACACTTAAGACATTTGTCTTTCTTGTCAGAATTCCTGCACCCTTACATTTAATACTGGAGCTCAAACTGGATATAACCCAGTAGAGCTTGTGGTGGAGGACTTTCCCAAACAAGACATCATACTGACTTACTCCGATGGATCCTACACAAGAAAATGGCCCCAAACAATGGCACGACGCAAACGGCAGATCACGGCAGCTTATCCAACCACCACAACAGCTGCTGAAACCACGACTACAGCTTATCCAACCACCACAACAGCTGCTGAAACCACGACTACAGCTTATCCAACCACCACAACAGCTGCTGAAACCACGACTACAGCTTATCCAACCACCACAACAGCTGCTGAAACCACCACTACAGCTTATCCAACCACCACAACAGCTGCTGAAACCACGACTACAGCTTATCCAACCACCACTACAGCTGCTGAAACCACGACTACAGCTTATCCAACCACCACTACAGCTGCTGAAACCACGACTACAGCTTATCCAACCACCACTACAGCTGCTGAAACCACCACTACAGCTTATCCAACCACCACTACAGCTGCTGAAACCACGACTACAGCTTATCCAACCACCACAACAGCTGCTGAAACCACGACTACAGCTTATCCAACCACCACTACAGCTGCTGAAACCACCACTACAGCTTATCCAACCACCACTACAGCTGCTGAAACCACGACTACAGCTTATCCAACCACCACTACAGCTGCTGAAACCACCACTACAGCTTATCCAACCACCACAGATCCTTATCCAGCTACCACCACGCCTCCTCCTACCACTACTACAACTGCCCCAACTACAGTGTCTTACCGATCATCAATCAGACCTTTAAGCATTCTCCCGCTCCAATTCACTGTTCTTGGTATGTAATATTTCTTCTACCACTTACTCAAATAAGTGTCTTATTTCTCATTTGTCATCTGATTTCCAGTGGACTCCCACAGTGCTCCTTCATGTGTCGATGGTGATTATTTTCCCATTTTCGTGGCACCAACTCCAGTTAATGGAGTAAATCTTCCTGCTTATGTCAATCAAACCCTTGAAATTAAAGTCAGTTCAGAAGCTCAGTACACAACGTAAGCAATTTTCTTCTTGCTTATTATATGTTCTTAAAATTCCTCATCATATGCATATAAATATTCTTGTTTAGTCTTGTTTATAGTAATGTGTTTGCCTTTCCATTCTGCCATTAAAACCATTTGTACTCTATAGGATTAATGACCTCATTGTCACAGGCCCACAGGGCATTTCTAAGGAGAGATCCTCCACAGATACATACATTATAAAATGGACACCAACTGAAGATAAACTGAATTATCATTTCCCTATTTGCTTTGTGTCTGAAGCAAGAGATATGTGAGTATCAAAAACGTGCCTTAGATCAGCTAGGTGTGATTCATATTCAATAGCAAAACCAAAAAACTTATAAATTAATCAACAGCGTTTCTACCATGGTTCAAAGTATTTTCTCTTGTTTGCTGCTATTCAGGTATTACAACATCTATCACTCAGAGCTGCGGTGTGTGTCTGTTGATGTTAGTCACCAGGGTGAGTCAATAAAGCAGTTTATCCATGATATTATTAATAATCTTAATCACTCATTAATCCATTTTTTAACATTTTAACAAATATTTGAAGTCAAATAGGTACTACCATGCAGAAACTGGAATAACTTTCAGGTTACCACACATTAGCTTCACCCAGCTTATGCTGTGGGATGACAGTGTGGTTGGTTACCAGGTGTTGTTCCTCTACACTGAGTTATGTTTTATGATTTTCAGCTGAATTTTTTTTAATTCTTGTTTTTATTTGATCTTACTAAACCAAGACATTGGTGGACTAGTCTGCAGTTCATGGGTATTTGCAGACTTTTATAACACATAAAATACTTCTTTATATGAACAGATACTACTTTTTATATACTGTATCAGGAGCATCTAGTTTTAAAGATAGTCAGAAACTTTAAATGGTTCACCATTTTAACACATTTGCCACTACCCATAATGATGTGAAAATAATGTGAAACTTACCCTGTGAAAATTGTAGAGGCTGTTGTGACCTGCAATGAAACAACTATGACTATGGAAGTGGCAAAGACCTACACCATCAAACGTAAGGAAGACAAGCTGCATCTAAAAAGCTTCACCGATTCTTCTTGTGACCTCAAAAGACTCTCCAACGAAACCCATTTGGTGGCTGTCATAGCGCTCGGAGCATGTGGGACACAGGTTCAGGTACAGAGAAACAAAAATGAACCAAACACGGTGGCAGATTTAAACAATGAATGAAAGAATTAAATTACACAAAGAAATCAACTAACCCAAAGAAAAAGCATGTTTCTGAATATTACTGTACATATCAAATCTTTTGTCTGAACATTACAAACCATTTTTTTCAAAGTGTTTAATTCTTTCTTTCCAGGAGGATGAAGACAGGATATATTTTCAGAATGAAATCACTTCAGCCGACCCAAATAAAATAATTTCCAGGCAGAACGATGTCGAAGTTGCCTTTACCTGCTCCTACCCAAAACGAGCCAACCTGACCCTGGGATTCAGACACAAAAACCCGTACGCCTTCAGAGAGAAAGGCTTTGGAGCTTTCACCTTCCAGTTTGAATTTTTTGAGAGCCAGCGTTTCAGGAAGCAGGTAAACGCCAGCAGCTACCCAGTTGAAGTTTACCTGAAGCAGATGATCTTCATGCAGATCGAGGCCACCTCGTCCATCCCAACCACTGAGCTGTTTGTGGAGTCCTGCAAGGCGACTCCCTACGACAATCCCAACTCCCGCATCAGCTACACCATCATCGAAAACGGGTAAAAAGAAAATAAAGGATTATTACTTTAATAGTTACTACAAACTGTTTTTCTGTTTGTCTAAAACACTCTAACCATTGTTTTCAGATGTGTAAGGACAGAACTGTTCAAATCTACCAAAGCCCAAAGTCTCAGTTCAGGTTTGGCATGGAGGCTTTTGAGTTCATCGGAGCTCACGATGAGGTGAAGTTACTTTTTTATGTTTCATGGCCCAATGTTAGTATCATTAAATCTACTCAAAACCTACCATTAGTATAAAGAATATCAAGGAAAACCTGAGCTATAATACTTTCATTTATCTCCTCGGGCTGCCACCAAATCCCAATGAACCTTCTAGGATCATTGGGGTTTGAGTGCCCCAATGATCCTAGGAGCTATGCTGTCTGGGGCTACATGCCCCTGGTAGGCTCACCCAAGGCAGACAAGTCCTAGGTGATGGACCAGACAAAGTGTAGCCCGAAGATCCAGATGATGAAAGAAATCTTCGTACCTCGTGTTCCCTTGCCAGGACGCAGGTCACCAGGGCCCCCCTCCAGCCAGGCCTATAGGGGGGGCATGATGGCGAGCACCTGATGGCCGGGTTTTTGCCCATGGAGCCCGGCCGGGCTCAGCCTGAAGTGGAAACATGGGTCCTCCCTCCCATTGGCCCACCACCCATGAGAGGGGCCAAAGGGTTCGGGTACAGTGTGTGATGGGTGGCAACCGAGGGAGTGGGTCCTGGTGGTCCGATCTTATGTTGCAGAAGATGGCTCTTGGGATGTGGAATGTCACCTCTCTGGCTCTCTGGAGCCGGAGTTAGTGGGTGAGGTTGAGAGGTTTCAGCTAGAAATAGTCAGTCTCACCTCAACACATGGTTCTGGTTCTGGAACCAGTCTCCCTGAGAGGGGCTGGACATACTTCCACTCTGGAGTTGCCCAGGGTGAGAGGCGTCAGGCAGGAGTGGGCATACTTGTGGGCTCCCCGTCTTGGTGCCTGTACGTTGGGGTTCACCCTGGCAAATGAGAGGGTAGCTTCCCTCCGCCTACGGGTGGGGGGATGGGTTCTGACTGTTGCTTGTGCTTACAGGCCAAACAACAGTTCAGATTATCCCCCCCTTTTTGGAGTCCTTAGAGGGGGTACTGGAGAGTGCCCCACCTGGGGGCTCCCTTGTTCTTCTGGGGGACTTCAACACTCAGGTGGACAATGACAGTGAGACCTGGAGGGGCGTGGTTGGGAGGAACGCTCCCTCCGATCTGAACTCGAGTGGTGTTCTGGTGCTGGACTTCTGTGCTCGTCACGGATTGTCCATACCGAACACCATGTTCAGGCATAAGGTGTTGCCTGAACATGGTGGTGCCAAGTGTCGCACTTGGCACCACGACACCCTAGGCCGCAGTTTGATGATCGATTTTGTCACTGTTTCATCTTATCTGCGGCAGTATGTCTTGGACACTCGGGTGAAGAGAGGTGTGGAGTTGTCTACTGACCACTACCTGGTGGTGAGTTGCCGGTCAGACCTGGCAGGCCCAAACGTGTTGTGAAGGTCTGCTGGGAACATCTGGCAGAGTCCCCTGTGAGACGAAGCTTTAACTCCCATCTCTGGCAGAGCTTCGAACACGTCCCGGGGAAGGTGGGGACATTGAGTCTGAGTGAACCATGTTCCGTACCTCCATTGTCGAGGCAGCTCACCGGAGCAGTGGCCGCAAGGTTGTCGGTGCCTGTGACAACCCTCGAACCCACTGGTGGACATCTTTGGTGAGTTATGCTGTCAGGCTGAAGGAGTACTATCAGGCCTTTTTGACCTCTGGGACTCCGGAAGCAGCTGATGGGTACCGGCGGGTGAAGCGGCATGCAGCGCAGGTGGTTGCTGAGGCAAAAACTTGAGGGTGGGAAGAGTTTGGAGAGGCCAAGGAAAAGGACTTCCGCATGGCCTCGAAGCGATTCTGGTCCACCATCTCAGGAGGGGGAAGCAGTGCAGTACTAACACCGTTTACAGTGGGGATGATGTCTTGTTGACCTCGACTCGGGACATTGTGGGCCGGTGGGCGGAATACTTCGAAGACCTCCTCAATCCCACCGACATGCCTTCCATTGAGGAAGCTGAGCCTGGGGATTCTGGGTCAGGCTCTCCAATCTCTGGGGATGAGGTCGCTGAGGTGGTTAAAAAGTGGACGAGATTTGCCATGAGTTAAGACTCTGGATGTTTTAGGGTTGTGTTGGCTGATGCGACTCTGCAATATCGCATGGACATCGGGGTAGTGCCCCTGGATTGGCAGACTGGGATGGTGGTCCCCCTATTTAAACAGGGGGATCAGAAGGTGTGCTCCAATTATAGAGGGATCACTCCCTGGCAAGGTCTATTCGGGAGGTGCGGAGATGTAGGGTCCATCGGATAGTTTGAACCTTGGTTTCAGGACGAGCAGTGTGGTTTTAGTCCTGGTCCTGGAATACTGGACCAGTTCTACACCCTCAGCAGGGTCCTGGAGGGTGCATGGAAGTTAGCCCAACTGGTCTACATGTGTTTTGTGGACTTGGAGAAGGTGTTTGACCGTGTCCCTCGGGGTGCCCTGTGGGGGGTTCTCCGGGAGGATGGGGTACCGGGCCCTTTGATACGGGCTGTCAGGTCATGACCGGTGTTGGAGTCTGGTCTGCATTGCCGGCAGTGAGTCGGGCTCGTTTCCCGTGAGACTTGGACTCCGCCAGGGCAGCCCTTTGTCACCAATTCTGTTCTTTTATGGACAGAATTTCTAGGCGCAGCCAGGGTGTTGAGGGGATCCGTTTTGGTGACCTTCGGCTCACATCTCTGCTTTTTGTGGATGATGTGGTCCTCTTGGCTTCATCGGGACGTGATCTGCAGCTCTCGCTGAAGCGGTTCGCAGCCGAATGTGAAGCAGCCAGGATGAGGTTCAGTGCCTCCAAATTCGAGGCCATGGCCTTGAGGAGGAAAAAGGTAGAATGTCTTCTCCGGGTCAGGGAGGGAGTCCTGCCTCAAGTGAGGCGGAGATCGACAGGCACAGCGTTGTGGTGAAGCGGGTGCTGTACCTGTCCGTCATGGTGAAGAGAGAGCTGAGCCAAACAGCGAAGCTCTCGATTTACCGGTCAATCTACGTTCCTACCCTCATCTATGGTCATGAGCTTTGTGTCATGACCAAAAGAAAGAGATCACTGATACAAGCGGCCAAAATGGGTGGCTGGGCTCTCCCTTAGAGATAGGGTGAGAAGCTCGGTCATCCAGGAGGGACTCAGAGTAGAGCCGCTGCTCCTCCACATGGAGAGGAGCCAGTTCAGGCTCGGGCATCTGGTGAAGTGTTTCGGGCACGTCCCACCGGGAGGAGGCCCCGGGGAAGACCCAGGACACGTTGGAGGGACTATGTCTCCCGTCAGACCTGGGAACGCCTTGGGATTCCCCAGGAGGAGCAGGAAGCCGGGGAGAGGGAAGTCTGGGCCTCCCTTCTTAAGCTGCTGACCCCGTGACCCGACCCCGGATAAGCAGAAGAAGCTGGATGGATGGAAAATGAACTCAGTCAGGATTTTTACAGATCTTCAGCAATGGTGCAATGGAAGGGAGCTGTAACCAACAGTTTCCAAATGTGAGAAATCAACCAATAAACAAATACATTAAAAACAGCTTTTTGACTACCAATACATCTTATCTCAATACATCCACTGAGTTGCTTGTATGAAACCCATCTATTATCTAACAAGCTTATCCTTGCAGGGTTGCAATTGTGGCAGTTTCCCAACTACAACAATCTAAGATTGTTTCAATTCAAGTATAATATCGCAGCCAACTTTCTACAAATGTACGTTTTTAAATGCATTGACATAAAAAGATGAATCTCACTTTCCTCCTTGTTTCTGCAGGTTTACATCACCTGTTCGGTCCTCCTGTGTGAGACTGGTGTTCCTGGAACTCGATGCTCTCAGGGATGCATTGGATCAAACTCATGGAACAATCGCAAGAAGAGGGACGCTCCGGCTGAGACGAGCAGCCACTCCATTTCCCAGGGTCCTTTGCGCCTTGCTCGGACTGAAGATGCCAAAGGTAAGACTGAAAGTTCAGCCACATCAGCTCACCAGCTCATGTGGCTGAACCATTATGTCTCCCATCAAGACTGCTGTCTCACTGTGTTATATTTTTCACATCATTTTTACTTTCACTACTTTTGATGTTTGTGTTTCTAGCATATTCCTTTAACAACACACTGTGCTAATTACACAAATGCCTGATTCACTGAACATAATATTTTCTCTCACTATGTCAGTGACTGGACCAAACCTGAGCCTGGGCCTGAACATGGTCTTCATCATCGGCTGCCTGCTGATATGTGGAGTGGTTGTCTACCGATCTAGAAGAGCCAAAGCTAAATACCAACCACTGGCAACCTCTGAGACAGACTGAACTCAGATCTGCTGCTTCCTTTGTTTCTGTCTTTTTTCCTACTGGTGGTTTGAATGATAATTACTCCATATGATAACATGACAATGCTGAGCTATAAATCAGCAGTATCCCTAATTTTTCAAGATATATTTTTTTGAAGTTTTGTTGGCTCTAGTGGCTTTTATTTTAGAGTGGAAAGTGATTAATGAGAGGGGGAAGACAAAAGGAAATCAGACTGGGAATTGTATCTGTGCATCTTGTAATTTTTTAAACTTTTTTCCCACGTGAAAATATGTCCTGCTGTGAAATGAGTACAATAAAAAGATTATAAGCAACTGATAACGTTACTCTGTGTTCAAAAATCATTTACACTTTACAGATGATTATGTTATGTTGTGTGCTTTCTCTATTGCATTTAGATTTATTTAGTATAGATTGGAGGAGGCCAGATCCAATGTTTACAGACATTTGGAGAGCCAAACCACTCTACATGTGTTTTTTGGACTCGGACAAGACATTGAACCATGTGGAATGTCTTCTGTTACCTTGTACTCTCACAATCAGAAACTATAGGGTACTATGCCTTTTGATACGGGCTATTTGGTCCCAACCATATTTTTGTTGGAAAAATAATGTCAATATTATGCTAGGTGATGAATCTATCTATCTATCTATCTATCTATCTATCTATCTATC